GACTCAATTTTGTTGAAATGCGTCGATGCCAGAGAAGCTAATCAGTTGATGAAGGAAATTCATGAAGGAGAATGTGGTCCGCACATGAACGGTCATCTTTTGGCCAGAAAAATCATGAGACTGGGTTACTTCTGGATGGCTATGGAGGCTGACTGTATTTGGCATGTTCGTTATTGTCATCGGTGCCAAATCTATGCAGATAAAATCAATGTACCGCCAAATGAATTGCGTCAAATGTCCGAGCCATGGCCCTTCTCAATGTGGGGGATCGATATGATTGGGCCAATTAATCCTAAGGCTTCCAATGGACATCGCTTCATCTTGGTAGCCATCGATTATTTCACCAAGTGGATCGAGGTGAACTCATATGCTAATGTCACCGCCAAGAATGTGGCCAAGTTTATTCGCCGTGACATCATCGCTCGTTATGGAGTCCCGGAGGTGATAATCACTGACAATGGCTCAAATCTGAACAACAAGGTTGTAGATGGCTTACTTAACGAGTTTCATATTCGTCACTTGAACTCCTCATCTTACCGTCCACAAATGAATGGGGCTGTAGAGGCAGCCAATAAAAACATAAAGAAGATCTTGTCGAAGACTGCCGACAATTACCGAGACTGGCATGAACGTCTACCTTATGCATTGATGGCGTATCGAACTTCGATCCGCACTTCGACAGGGGCGACTCCTTTCTCGCTCGTTTATGGTATGGAAGCAGTTTTGCCTGTGGAGGTTGAAATTCCTTCATTAAGGATACTCTCACAAGCTGAGCTCTCCGAGGAAGAATGGACTCAACAGAGATATGATCAGTTGAACTTGATCGATGAGAATAGACTAAAGGCTTTATGCCACGGTCAATGTTACCAAAAGCGAGTTGCCAAGTCTTTCAATCGCAAAGTCCGGCCTCGACATTTTAAAACCGGAGATCTCGTACTAAGGAAAGTGTTGTCCATCACACTCGAATTAGGTGGGAAGTTCGCTCCAAATTATGACGGTCCGTATGTCGTTAGAAAGGTTCTACCTGGGGGTGCTTTAATTCTTGTAGAAATGGATGGCCAAGAGTTGCCAAAGCCTGTAAACGCCGATTCGGTGAAAAAGTATTTTCCTTGAATGAAATCCGAGGCCCGAGAACCATTTTCGATGCAATCCGAATCACTGTAAGTTATTCACATCATGCATATCATGCATACATGCATACATGCTTACTTTACAGGTCCCAAACAATCCGCAAATTGATCCGCAAATAACTGAACCGTCTTGGCAAGCATCCAACAAGCTAAATGTGAAGGAGGGGGTTACCAAGTCACTAGGCCGCAGGTAAGCACCCTTTTTCTTAATGCCAAAAGAAGGTCGAATGGAAAATTTGCTTTGAACAAAAAAAAAAAACAACAAAACAGAATAATAAAAGAAAAAAGGTTTTCGGCGAGTTTGAGAAAAGCAAGCATAAAAATAGAAATTGTGAAAATAAATTTTTCACAGAAATTTTGAATGTCATGCTTGTCCAAAGTTGCCTCGATGCTTGGTGGAACGTTCATTTCGAATCAAAATCCCCAATGGAGATCAATCAACTCAGGTGATCTTGACGAAACAAGAGGAAATATGTTAAATATGCCAAGCGAGAAGCACTTAGAATGAAGAAAGGCGAACCATTCCCAAACACGTCCTATAAACACTTTGTAAGTTGGGTGCAAAAACCGTGTTTTAGGACGAGAGATTCATTCGCAAATTGTACATGGATCAAAGTGAAAAGAGGCATTTCTTTCATATATCCTACACACTACAGGTGATCATAGTTAAGCCCATTTGAGCCTTTAAATGTAAAGAATTCACAAAATGTCCCTGTCAAGAACCACCCCACAATGGGGCAAATTTGGAGGTTCTGGTTGACACCATTTGGCGAAGAAGATGGGAAAGACTTCTTTGCTCTTACTTGCATTGATCTTTTGTGATAACTTCAGGTGAGTCCTAATGGAAGCTCAAAGCATCCCAAAGTGAAGAAGAGCGTTTCATTCTCTACCCAAACACTTATGCCCTTTGCTTAGCCAAGTTGAGCCTGAATATTCATTTCTAAAGCCCGAGTGGTGATTATCTCCCTACACTGGGGCAATGCACATGATTTACCAAAGCAGCTGGTGCTTGTGTGACAACGTGTGGAAGAATCTCGAAAGTCTTAGGGGCTCAAAATAATCAAAAGAGAAAAAGTCAAGTGAAAACTAGAGGGCATGAAAAAGCAGTGTGCTTGGTAAAAGCAGGGCCAATGCCCATTGTAAAAAAAAAAAAGCATCTCGAGAGGAATTCTTTCGTAAAAAAAAAAAAAAAAAAAGATGTCGAAAGAAAAATGCTTGCATGAAAGAAAAACCATTGCAAAGGCGAAAGCCATTAGAAAAAGAGCAAAGTTCTTATGTCGAAATGATTTGCCAATCGACTCTCGAGGCGAGTTAAGACGAGATGATATGGTAATAATGCCACGATAATCATCAGTTCTTAAATCTTTTCTGAAAAACTCGAGCCTTTTAAGCCTTTCACCGAACCAATCTTACAACCCTTTCCAAAGTCTCTTCCGATTGGGATGGTTCGAGCAGAAGTTTGGATTTCCAAAGAAGCTACCGCTTGAAGAAGTGGAGGGCAAGGTTATCTTATCTCATCTTAAGGTCTCTTGACTTGTAAACCTGGCGGAGATGCTGATCCACAATAATTGCATTCCTTAGCCGATAGTACTCATCCATTGTTGAAGCCGTGACCAAACCTATATTACGGTCCTTTAAAAGACCTCTTAGATTGGTCAACGTGTACTTATTGCGAATGATTCTCAAAACCTTCGACAGTGGTCATGTGAGGTATACTGAGTGATCAGACCATTTCCCACATTAATGGATGGGATCAAACAGCCTTCTTGAGAGTTGTGAGAAGCCCTTTCCGACTATGGAGCTCTTGTTTGGCATGTTTAACAAGCCCTTTTCACGAGTTAAGATCATTTTGACAAAAGATTTTCTCCTAAGGGAATTTGATGATTAATGACATTCCTCAAGCCTAATGACAATCTTGTGATATTCAATGATATTGACTGTTTTCCAAACAATTGAATTTAGTTTGATTCACTCATGCAATCAACACTTTCTCCGTGAATGCATTCTTTTGATAGTGTCATTCATGACATTCGAATAACATCGATCTCGCCTGGTATGCTTTCCCTATCAGAGCACCTGTTATAACATATTCCGTTAGATGTGCAATGGCCATTTCGGAAACTTTTTGCTTGATATATTTACAGTCCAGAATTTTTGCACGGTGAGCTTTCGCAGCCCGGAGCACCTTATCGACTTGGCGAGCTTTCGCAGCCCAGAGTCTTTTTCCTTGCACGGTGAGCTTTCGCAGCCCGGAGCACCTTATCGACTTGGCGAGCTTTCGCAGCCCAGAGTCTATCTTTTTCCCTGCCCGGTGAGCTTTCGCAGCCCGAAGCACCCCATCAACCTGGCGAGCTTTCGTAGCCCGGAGTCTTTTTCCTCAACCTGGCGAGCTTTCGTAGCCCAGAGTTTATTTCTTTATATGGTGAGACTTTATTTAGCCAAAAATCCGTTCTTACACGGTATGGCTTTGTTTTCGATCAAAGTCCGTTCTTACACGGCACAACCTCTTCATGTAGCCACAAATCCGTTCTTACATGGTATGGCTTTGTTTTCGATCAAAGTCCGTTCTTACACGGCACTACCTCTTCATGTAGCCAAAAGTCCATTCTTACACGGTATGGCGTCCTTTGTTGTTCATAGGGTTTTAGTCCCTAGGCAAAATCTTTGACGTTCATAGGGTTTTAGTCCCTAGGCGTTCCTTCAAGGTGTTGTTCCTATTGCCGTTCATAGGGTTTTAGTCCCTAGACGGGATCTTAGCTGCTCACAGGGTTTTAATCCCTAGGTGGATTTTCCGACGTTTACAGGGTTTTAGACCCTAAAAGTCATTTTAATTTTGTCCCTAAAAAAAAAATAGCAAAAAAAATAAAAAATCAACAAAACATCCAAATAATAATAAAAAAATAGATAAAAAAAAAAATCAATCATTCCTCATGCTTTAGCCATTGCGCCATCCCATGCCCTCCGCAAAAAATTTTTAGGTGTCTCTTGTCTTTGAAAGGAACCTCCGTAAGCTCCCCTTCAAAGAGGGGCAGCTGTTGACACCTAAATTTTTTGCCCAAAAATCATTTTCAAAAAAATTGGAGCTTGTTTTTCCACAAAAAAATTTTGGAATTATTCTATAAAAAAAAAAAACCGGAAGAGCAAGGGCCAAGGATTCGAGTGTAGCTAACCGAGACCTGAGGGATCAAATTGTAAATGAACCAGCAAGTTGGGGCCAAAATACAATTTCCAAAAGTTGGGGGACCAAATTGCAAAATTTGTAAAATTTGCCCCCAAGCCCTTAAATCATCATTTTTACCCCTAATCAAGCTTGAAATTGAAAACGGGCAAGGTAAAATTGATCAGATCAAAGAGGAGTATGTTGGTTATGTCTTAAGGACCATTTTCGGTCATTTTTGTTCTGGTCTGTTAGCTGGTTGTTTTTTGGTTTTACTTAGTCAACAAGATAGTAGGAGTTTGTCGTTTTCAATTCCTATTTTGTTGCTAGTTAGTGGTGTAGTGGTTTTTGTTAGTTACTAAGTTAGTGCAATTCAGTTTTCGTTTTTTTCAAAGAGCTATGTACTCTTCTCGTTTTCGAGAATGTAAAACAGTGCATTTCCATATCAATCTTCTCTTGTTCTTCTACATTTGAGAGCACATTCTCTGTAACAACAGAGAGCACATTCTGTGCAACAATGGGAACTCCATTCCACCTGCTGAGGCACTCAAACATGGGATCGATGGTCTTGCGCTCACACATTGCCTGGAAGACCTTGTCGAACTCCTCCCCCGATGAGACTACCCTTTCCCCAGTGAGCAAACTCGTCCTTAGCTCCTCTCTCACGAACTTGTAGAGAGGGTACGACCGGCACTCCTTGATCTTGCTAGGAATCACGTTCCCGCTCTCGAACGCGAGCGGGTGCTCTCATCCTCTTTTGGCAACACAGCCTTCAGCTCGGCCTCGAACACTCTGATCTTGTGGAAAATTGAGGTGCTCGAGTTCTTCTCACTCTCTCCGTTCGACAATGCGTGTTCCGCCAGGACCTGTCTGAGCTTCTCCATCAGTGGGTGTTGACACCTAAATTTTTTGCCCAAAAATCATTTTCAAAAAAATTGGAGCTTGTTTTTCCACAAAAATATTTTGGAATTATTCTATAAAAAAAAAAAAAAACCGGAAGAGCAAGGGCCAAGGATTCGAGTGTAGCTAACCGAGACCTGAGAGATCAAATTGCAAATGAACCAGCAAGTTGGGGCCAAAATACAATTTCCAAAAGTTGGGGGACCAAATCGCAAAATTTGTAAAATTTGCCCCCAAGCCCTTAAATCATCATTTTTACCCCTAATCAAGCTTGAAATTGAAAACGGGCAAGGTAAAATTGATCAGATCAAGCCAAAAGGACCAAATTGGCTCAAATCGGGCATTCTCGGACAAGAAAGTGGCTAATTTTGAGGGACTTTCCTGCAAACTTGGGCATGGAAAATTGCAAATTCTGATTATCATCTTAAACTAATATACTTCAACTTTCAAACTGATCAAAAATTCCGACCAAATGAATGGATTAAAGCACTTAAATTAGCTTCCAAAAACCGGTCCACGATTTGGTCTCAATTCGAGGCTGCTGAGTAGCCAAATTTGTGGCCCCACCATATCCTACTCAGCCAGCCGATCAGCGTGAACTCTGGCCGAGGTGTGAGACCATCATTAGGAGTGCAAATGGACAAAAATTTGCCAGGGATAAGCTACTGAAGACACGTGATAATCTCAGTCAAACCTGCTCACTCAACAGCTGCAAATTATGATGATTTTGGAGTCAGAAAGTTGGTGAAGAGACTCAGTTTGCAGGCTTGGTAAGTGGGCAATCACGGGCTAAAAATCGGGTTGGATTTGATGGATAGGATCTCTGAAGCACGTTATTTTGGGGGATAAAAATAAAGGGATGAGACAAGAGGAAGGGGGTTGACGGTCGTTCCAAAAACTCACCCTCAGACGCAACTCAAAAAAGAAAAACCCAGAAAAGTTCCAGACTGACTTTTGGAGAGGAAAGTGAGATTTTCGTGAACTTCGAGCCAAAATTAGCCAAAACCTTCAACTAGAGAGTGGAACTACATTCAAAGAGCTTTCCAACCATAGGTCGCACGCCCCAAATGGATGTCGGGAAGCCACCCAAAATCCCCTCGAAAAGCAGCCCATTCTCGGGTCAAGAGAGAAACCCATAAATCTTGTGTGTTGAAGTCAGACGGTTACTGGTGAGGGAAAGTGGGAGTTTTTGAGAGACATGAGGAATATATGAGGATACCTGTGACTTGAAAATTAAACTAGAATACATCTAGTTTGGGTTAGTGTCAAATTAGTCAGAAAAGGAGGTCGTTGATTCTGGTTTTGGAGACCAACAAAAACCTTCGTTGTCAGTTCCTTCTTTGCAGATCTCATTTTCCAGTTTGAAGAAGCCTAGTTCCCCGCGCCCTTGGAAGACAGGTTTTTGGTTCCCTCGGCCAAGGGATACTTCAAAGAGAAACTAGGAAGCAAGGTGAGTATCCTACATGTATTTTTGTTCAATTTTGAATATGTTTTAGTTATGAAAAAATCAAGAGAAAACCAGCCCAGAGAACTGATTTCTGAGGCTGGAATTTTTGTAAGTGTTAGAGCTCCTTCATGAGCCCTAAATGTTTGACTTGCTACTCCTCTTTGCATGCGTTTTCTACCTTCGTGAGCTTGATGAATGTTATATGGGTGTACAAATTAGGCTGAGATCCACTTGGTTTGGTCTTTGAAGCCCCGTGTGAACCATGAGATCGCTTGCAACTTGAGTCAAAAGCCAAGCTAACCCACATTGATTCATGGCTAGTCATTATGAACCGTGCATGTATGCTTCTTGGGGGGGGTTGTTTCGACGTGTTCGCTTGATCATTCTCCATGATGTTTGTTTCATTTAAAAGTAGATGTTACGTATATTCTCTCAGATGAAGTGATGTTTCCCATAGATCTTGCACGTGATGAGTGTCGGGGCTTAAACCTGGGCATGCAACAGGTTTGCTTGACCTGGGTTTAAACCCAAATTTGCAAAAGCAGCCCGAACCCACATATTGGAGGCCGATTCCAACTTGGTTCTCGTGCGTTTTAGGTTGTGATTTCTAGCTAATCTTGTTCTTTGCATGTGATAATATAACCTTGATACTTTGGTTCCACTTGATATTACACACGGAGTAAGATTGAAGGCCACGAATATGGCTCGAGGAAGCCATTTGGGGCATTTTAATGCACACCAAATGCTCGACGAAATGCCCAAACCAAGTTTCGATCTTGAAACGGTTGATTTGAGCCCGGTTCTCGTAATATTCATATTCTGAGTTGTTTCATGTTCACGTAAACCGAGCATAGGCCGATTTAGGGAATTATTATTATTTTTAAATAAAAAACGAAAATTAAAAAAAAATAGAAAAATTTCGAAAATCCAAAAATTGGAAATTGGGCTTCAGAATTGCTTTTCTCTCCCTTTTTGTGTGATTAGCGTATGTTTGATTGCTCCTCGCTTGATTCGCACGCTTTAAATTGCATGTTTAATTTAAACTCGCATGTGGTTGATTATGCATGTTAGGTTCATGTAGTGATTGTTGCTTCCCTTAGCTTGGTTAGGAATGAATTTTTTTAAACTCCCAGTTAGTGTGAACACGTTAGGTGGTGAATTGAGCAAGATTAGGTACCGAAAGGGCACTAGTTGGTCAATTAGTGTAATCAAGTCCCCGTACCCATTGAATCTCTGGTTCGTAGAAGTAAAGCATTTCTCCCCTGCTTTGCTTGGGTGTCTAATCGACCCACCAAAAACTGATTAGTGGCGACTCCTAGGTGAAATTGATTTCCATGTTAATAACTTTAACTTAAGTCGCGAATTGATATGAGCTTGGGAGAGCTCGAGCTAGGTTTAACTTAGTAATCCATTAGCCTAACCCCTTAGGCGGCGGGGCCGGTTTAGGGAGGTCGCGACAGTGGGTAGGTTGCGCTGCAGGGGTCATCCACATAGGCAAAGACATTCTCCCAATCCACCACTTTGAGCAGGTCCTTCTCGCAGAACCTCGATGGGTGGAGCTCCCCGTTCGAGCCGGTGGTGAGGGTCCTCTTGGCCACTTGGCCCACCGTGCTCTTCACTGTGCTCTTCAGATTTTCCTCAAGATGCCTCAGGTCAACTGCCTGGCAGAGCGCCACCAAGAAGGTACTCGACATGAGCTGCAGGATCTTGACTGCCTCGGCCGTCTTCCTTGAGGCGATCAGGCCAAGGGAGTTCACGTCCTGGTTGTGTTGCTCTGCACTCTCCACGTGATTGATGACTGGATTTGCCAGGAATTGCGGCTCAGAGCAGTAGGACGCCATAGCAGTGGCCAGATTGCAAGGCAAGCCATTGTTGTAGAAGTCGTTGACAAGCTCGGAGAACTGTGCGAACATGAGCTTCCCCATAGACGCGGTGGCCAAGCGAGTGTTATCCATGGCGACGCCAATCGGTGTCCCCTGGAAGTTGCCGCCGTGCAAGGCCTTGTTCCTTGAGACGTCGATCAGGGGGTTGTCGTTGACTGAGTTGATCTCTCTTTCTATCGATTTGGTTGAGTATCGAATCACTTCGATCAGTGGGCCAAGCCACTGCGGTGAAGTCCTCAGAGCGTACCTCTCTTGCTTTGGCTTTTGCAAGGAATCAAGCTCGGGCAGCTTCTTCGCTGCTTTGACATAGGCGCTTCCATCCAAAATGTGTTCCATGATAGCCGCAGATTCGATCTGACCGGGATGGTGCTTCAATTTATGCGTCAAATGATTGGTGAATTCGGGCTTGCCCTGCATCACCTCCGCAAAGATTGCCGATAAGATCTCCGAGAGAACAGCAAGAATGTTGGTATCAAAGAGGACCATCGCAGCCAGCCCCGACCCAACTGCAGTGCTGTTGACAAGTGCGAGGTCCTCCTTTGGCTGCAGCTGAAAGAAGCCCGATGTTATGCTGGCAAGGCGGAGGGCTTCCTTGGCATCAAGCAGCTCTCCATCGGGTCCCACAGCCTCGGCATTCGGTCTCCCGGTCAGGACCCCTGTGATGTAGGAGAGCGGGACAAGATCTCCTGAGGCCGTGATGGACCCACGCAGTGGCAAGCAGGGAGTGATGCTCGCATTGAGGAGCTTGGCGATTGCTTCCAGGATGTCAAACCGAATGCCGGAGTAGCCCTGGAGTAGGGTGTTGATCCTCACCAGCATCGCAGCCCTCGTGGCCGAGCGAGGCAGCATATGGCACGATTCAGCCCCCTTGCCGAAGATGCCGGCATTCAAGAATCTGGTTAAAAAAGGTAGAATGGAACACGTGAGGAAAATATTTCTTAGATTATGGGCTTGAACAAACAAGAAACTATTATTGTCAAACATAGATTAGCCTTGAAGAAGGAGGTTTGCCCTCGACACTTCTAATAGTCTTCATCGTGTAATGAACACCAAACGGGTGCGAACTCATTTTAGTGACTACTCCCTCTAAAATGATGGCTATCCATATTTTTTTCCTATTTTTACATAGCTCAACTTCTAAAACAGCATTGTGAGGTGAGCAATTATATGAAATCACTAAACTTGCCAGGTTATTTTTATTTGATTAATTAAAAGCTATAATGATTTCAATAGTAGAGTGCCATATGAGTCACTTGATTTAAGGAAAAATTGTCCAAAGAGTCATAAATCTATTGAACTTTTGTCAATTCAGTCATAAACTTTTTAATTGTGCCATTGAATCCTAAACCTTTTCATATTTTGCCAATTGAGTCTATCCGGCCAATTTTGGCCAAAATTGCTGACGTAGACACCGGCTGTCCTACGTGGCATGGTCGACATTGACGTGAACAATTTTTAATAATATTTTAATTATTTTCGAATGTTTTTATTAATTTTTTCTTTTCTTCTAATCCGACTCTGGCCATTGTCCGGCCTCATCAATGGCTGATGGAGGTCATCGGTCTCAGGTGAGGGCCGCCCTTAGGCTAGGCTTGCCCTCCCCTGCGCTAGTGAGGGCAAACCCTTGCTCGATCTAGCGAAGGGCTGCCCTCGCTTGTGGCTAGCAGAGGTCGTCGGCCATCGACAAGGTGCAGTGATGCCCGACGGAGGGGGAAAGAGAAAAAAGATAAAAAAAGAAAAGAAGAAAAAAGGAAAAAAAGTAAGAAGGTAAAGAAGCAAAAGAGAAGAAAGAATTTTTTTTTAAATATTATTAAAAAGTGTCCACGTCAATGCCGGTCGTGCCACGTAAGACAGCCGATGTCCACGTCAGTGATTTTTAGCCAAAATTGGCAGGATGGGTTTAATTGGCAAAACGTGAAAATGTTTAAAACTCAATTGAAATAATTAAAAAGTTTAGAAATGAATTGGCAAAAACGTAATAAATTTTGGACTTTTTGGATAATTTTCTGCTTGATTTTAAGAAATGGGACAGACCCGTTTCGAGTAAGCAATTGATGTATCAAGGCAATTTAGGTAATTGAACAGATAAGATCCGAAGGAGAATGTTTAAAATTTATACACAGGACAGGTTCTTGCATTTACCCATTTGGTTTGGGCCAAATACAGGTGAATCATCAAATTATATGAATTTTACACGAATGTCATCTGCTCTTTTGCTTCTTTTTTCATGAAAAGAGTGTTCTTTCCTCCTGATAAACAATTATATACCGTATACATGCTCACTTCACTGGATCACGATTTAAGTCCATGTAATAAGTTTGCATGAGTTAATTGTCTACCACACATCTGAATCATCATTACGTGCCAAACTGCCATGCATGCACGAGCACCGATCCCATTCACTTCAACTCGCTTAACTCGACCGAGTCAACGGGTGTTCGCACCCTCCATCATCCGAACTCAAGTGAGTTCACCCCAAAAGAACCATTAACTAATGACAAAAAATTACGAAAATTACCTAATGAGCTCCTTCTGGAGGGCCGCACCCTGGTTGGTCCTCCGGTGCGAGGACGCCCCGAACCCGGTCATGATGCCGTAACTGTCTGTCCCTTTCTCCATGCTCTCCCTCACCCAGTTGCTGCTCGCCTCCATGCCGGCCCGGGCCGACTCATCCAGCACCACCCTCGAGCCCCTGGCGGCTGCGACCGCCGCCACCTGCGCTACCGTCAGCGTCTCGCCGCCAAGCTGCACCACCAGCTTTCGGAACTCCTCCACCATGTGCCGAACCTCGTCCAGGTGGCTGCCGCTCAGCGACCTGGCCACCGACCCCCAGTTCAGCAGGTCGCTGAGGCAGAAGCCGGAGACACCGTTGGTCTCGGCAAGATGAGCTTCCATTGGTTACTAGGGAAAGAGGTTGAGGAAACGGGTATTCTGAGAAACGATGAGAAGATGTTAGTGAGAAAGAGGGAGACGCAACACTTCGAGTTTGGTTTCGAGGATGCGTGGATTCCATGAGAGGCGGCAATTGAGTTTAAATAAATGAGGCCCTTGACCAAAATTTGCTTGGGATGAGCGTGTGCGTTTCGATTTTTCCCGTGGGTAGGTAAGACTTGGGGGTTGGTCGAGGGTTGGTCTTCGCCGTAGATGGGTGGCGATCCGACGGTTGAGACTGGGCAGCGTGGCTCCCGATCGAGTTATCTGTTGCTCAGAGGTAATCTGGAGAGGAAAAGCAAAGCCTTGCATGGTTCAGACATCAGAAGCCATCTGTGCAAATGCATGAGTGTCAACTGCCGACACTCGTCGTGCGAGTAGAGAAGGACGAGCTTCAACCTTATCTGCTCTTGGATTAGAGTGCTAAAGAAACATGCACCCTGGGCTGTCAAGAAGTACCTAGGAAAGCTCACTATATCCATACACTGTTTTTTCCTACTCTTGTTGATTGGTCGAGAGAATGTGCACTTTCCACGTGTGGCTAGCAGGTTTGCTCGGTCTTTTTCGTGCTTACTATGAAGAGTTTTTCTGATAATCGAACATTGATTTTCGTGCGATACTTTTCGAGCAGTTACTGAATTTTTTTTACGCATCACCCGACCTTGTCAATTTTGCTGTTTAAATACTTCAATTTTGAAGGCAAAGTCAGCATTTATATCGTTAAAGATATATTCAAGAGATTCTCCGTATCAATCAGAACACCACCGCATAACAATTTAAAAGAGTTCACAATTTCAGTTCTATTTAAGCTCATTAAATTATTACATATACTTCTCGTTCGGATGTTCTTGGTTTTGTATCTTGTCTCTCCTCTTATGGTAAGACCAATTTGTTTTTTCTTGCTAGTTTGTCAATCTGCATAACAGAAAAAGCGTCCAGATAAATCATCAAATTGGAGTACAAACTCACATAATGTCCGTTGACTCCAGTGAAATGCAAATGAATTTGTAGGTTTGTCGCGACCTAAAATTTCTCAGGCTAATGGATTATTAAGATTAAGCCTAACTCGGGCCCTCCCAAGCCCTACCAATTCGCAACTTAGGGTTTAAGTTTTTTAACATGCAAAAGTTTTCATGCTTGGAGTCGCCACTAATCTATTTGTGGTAGGTCGATTAGAAACCTAAATAAAACATAGGGAGATATGTTTTATTCCTACGAACCAGAGATTCTAAGCTCGGAGACTTGGTTACGCTAGATCTAGTCTAACGCCCTTTCGGTACCTTTTCTTTTCAAAAATATTTATGCAAGCAGTCTAGATCCATTTTATTACCTAATCACTAACATGTGAGGTGTTCATGCGGGTGCACAAATCACCAATTTAACACCCAAGAAAGCAACAAATAGATTGCAAGATTAGGAGAATGACATACCTTAATGCAACGCAAGCATCTGCATTGTTAGTAGAAAATCATACAGACAATCCTAATATGATTTCTAATTAACAAAGCAAAGCACTCGAGGTGTTCTTTAGGGTTTGCGCTTTATTAAAATGCAAACTAACCTATATGCAATGACGTGCAAAAATGACATGCGATTAATGTAACCTAGCATGCGAATTGTATGTCATGCGACGACGTGACCTAATTCTAATGACGGACAAATGATTTATTTTTGGTATTTTTCCAATGAAATTCGAAATTAAAAGATGCCTAAAACAACATGCAATTTAACAACTTTTTTTTTGATATTTTTATTATTAAAATTCGAAATTAAAAGTTGCTCAAGTTGAGAATGCAATCTATCCTAATCTATCCTAAAGGAACTCATTCTTTTTGGGATTTTCATGGAAATTCGGAATCTTAAAATAACCTAAATAATCTATTAGGATTAGAATAACACCTAATTTAAACTAGGAAATAAATCATCTCAAGTCCTAATTTAAATTAAATAATTATCCTATCTTCTAGATACATTTAGGATTTCCTAAACATGCAAAACTCCTAATTTAAATCTAAGTAACATATATTTGGATTTTCTTTATTTAAAAAAAAAAACCATATCACAAAATATTAACCACATCCATTTAAATTTAGAAACAATAGATTGACAAATCATATCCCGGGCATGAGGATCGGATTGGCCAATTTTTCACGCAATCGCGAATCATATCTCGGGCGGGAGATCGGATTGACGATTTTCCGTGCGATCGCGAGTCATATTTCGGGCATGAAATCGGGCTGTCGATCATATGCACGTTGTGAAATTAGGAAATAATTCCTAATTTAAAGGATATTCGGGGACGTAATGGATACGATAATATCACTCAAAGATTCACACAAAATTGTAATATTTCAAACAAAGAAGCAATATACTTGAAAATCAAATTAAATGAGATCTTTACCTAATTTGAATATTTTCTTTCCGAGTTTGGACCGGCGGATGGTGGCGCGGATGAAGTTAGCCGCGAAGAGCTCGTGGTGACTCGCGTGATTGGCAAGAGGTGGCAAAACAGTAGAGTGAGGAGAACCCGTGGCGAGAGCGCGGGGACGAAGCTTGACTCCACACGTTTGTCGTTCCTTTATGTTATTTGTTTCCGGAGAACAGAGGATCCCAAGAGCATGATGTTGTCTCCTTCAGCAGCGAACTCACTCTCCACCAATTGCACTCGGTTTTGTCCTCTTGTGAACCTGTAAACAAAAATCGTCTCTGACAGGGAGAGAAAAGGATGAATTCTTTTGCTTCTTTCTCCGCTGAAACACTTCTTTGTTTAATTATTGCTCTATTGGCTACTGCTTGACTCCTCGCAAACGACGGATGGAAGTTTGACTGAGTCAATATGATGTGAATAAAAGGCAGAGAACAAGCGAAGACACTAGCGAGCAGTGGATGGATCCGGAAAAAACGCAGATGCGATACCGAGGCCTCGCCTTTGTGCGTTGGATCGCCGGAAGAATCGTCGTGGACTGGAGCTCGTTGGTATAATGGATGGACGCTAGAAGAGCAGCAGCGGACTCGATATTGGAGCAGCTCGTCACGGGGGCTTTTGGCTCGCAGTGGAAATAGCAGGTGTCGCGGTAGCGGAGCAGCAAACGTGGCGCAGCCGAGAGGTTGGACGCCACGGAGGAGGACAGTATGGCGTTGAGTCGAGCGGCACGGCCACAGGTCTGGCTGTGTGGGGATCTCGGCCAAGGTTTGGTCGAGAGACTCCTTTTCTCTTCTTCACGCCTTCTCTTTTCTCTCGGCTTTTCCCAGAATCATGACCGTGTATTCAATTGTCTCCCTTCACTACTCACGATTTTTTTCTCTCTCAATGGTGATCCTCGCATGTCAAGTCTCTGCCCCCCCCCCCCCCCCCCTTCTTCTGTGTAAAATACCTCAATTTATAATCTCTGCTCACCGACTCCTTGCTGGATATTTTCCTTCAATCAAATATTCTCATTGATATTAACCGATTCTTCCCTAGTCCACTTTCCTCAAGATCCACCGCTTCTTTATTCTTTTCCTTTTGTTTCTTTCGATATTTCCTCTTTGTTGGCCGAAGTGTATACACCAATATATGCTCATGATCAAAATAATAATCCCATCTCTCGCACACAAGCTAGGTGATTGCTTAAGCTTCCAAAGTTTTGGTAAATTAGTAGCTTACTCGCTTTGATTTATAAAAAAAACTTCATTCATAATGGATTCTTGAACAAAAACTATGAAAGCAACAACTTGAAATCCCCTAAACAAATATGCTAAAACAATGACCCAACTTCCTAATCATTTGGCTTGATCAATATACAACTGGGATGAGATTTCCAAACGTAATCGCTTATTCTCCTTGGTCAAGTGTGTAACTTGCTCTTGTAACTTCTCAGCTTTTCTCTTGAGACATCTTTTCTCAGCACGGTTGGTGATCTTCTCAAGCACCCTTGGTATCTTTGGGAGTAAGTTGTATGGAATCTTGTGTCGTCGAATATATTCGGCTGTAGCATAATACTTTCTTTCTTTACCCGCTAATTCTTTTTCGGGCCATATGAGCATTTGTGGATGGCACATATCCCACAGCGACTTGATTAAAGAAATGTTATCCTCATGGTCGAGGTCTCCGTTGGTGAAGTCGACCCGAATTGAATCATCCTGCTTCAAAGCTGGGGGAAGCTCTTGCACCAATTGATACTGGTGAGTCACCCTGGTCGGGTAATATTCCATTGCCCCAGTGAATCCCAGTAAAGGAATTGGGCCAACACATCCACATGTGAGTCTAGCCTCACGAACTTGGAACCATTTAGCATGCCATAGGAAACATTTGGACTTTGAATTTTTAAAGAAAGCCAGCCAATTGGAATAATGATAATCCGGTGCATGTTTTTGTTTATTCTCAAATCTCATGATAGGGTGATCAGAGTTGCTAACTTCACGTATAATCATTAAACCACCAAACCCTTTTAAGTGAGATAAGAACCAAATTTGCAAAAGCTCAGGAGAAGCATGAAAAATTTTGTCACCATTTTCTTTAAATCGAGAAAGGGAAAGAAAAGTTTCTGCCAGGAGGGCATTAACAAAGTTCATTCCCCCACACACTTGCCCCACTAACTTAGCAATCAAAGGATTAATAGCATTCTTACAGCGAGGGAAAAGTATAAACCCAAAGAAAGCTAATAGGAAAATCCTTCTAATTTGAAATGAAGTGCCATTTTGAAAACATTCATCAAGAAATGAAAATGGGCAAGTATTGCGGTGACCTTTCAAAATTTTTCTTATCTTTTCTTCCTTGATTCTCAGAAAATCAGATAAAATCGAGACAAGATTTATTCCGATAGGTGGACTAATTAATTCTGATTCCAAAGGTTTTCCAATGGCAATGCTATATTCTTCCAAGGTCGGAGTGAGCTCATGCTTACCGAAGATGAAAGTAGTCGTCTCTGGACACCAACAATGGGCAAGTGCTTGAATGAGGCCGCCATGAATGTTGATACGCAACAGAGGGAGGAGTCGGCCAATTGTTGATTCCACAAACTCACGACTAGCTCGGTCTAGCTTGTCCCACCACACGTTGAGTTCCTTCTTGGGAGGGAGAATAAGTCGAATGTCGGAATTTCCCATTGTATATTGACCAAGACTTGCGATCAACCTAATGTCATGGACCGACAAAACAATACGATAAAGTAAATAAATTGCGGAGGAAAAGTTCAAAGGACTTACTTTACCAATAACCAGGTGGCAATCACATAGACATACGCATGCTACGTGGCTCGATTTCTACTCTAGAAGGCTTAACAAAGTGGAACCACGAGAATGATCGGACTAGCCGCGGGCATACGGACTAAGTCGGGTCCTCGTGACTCCGGCATCATCAAAGAGCCGACCCATGTCGCGGGCATGCAGACCGGGGTGGTAATCTCTTTGACATCAAGAAAGAAATATCGGAATTGAGATGGGCAACTCGTACCACGGGCGAACGGTCGGAGTGGTATCCATCTCAATACCATCCTAGGTGATCCTATGCGGCCCAGGTCCGGCGACAGGTTGTGTGTGCTAGAGTGTAGTGAAAATGCACAGGCATGCACAACAGATCATATGCAAACAGCGCTTCAATATCAAAATTAAAACATCCAATCTCAACACCTCCCTTCATGGTTAACAAACACTCCACCCCTTATAACTCCCATTCTGCAAAAACATTTAACACCTTAAATGTTAGGGACGTACCTGGAATCCTCGCTGCCAAACAAAAATATATTTTTTTTCAAAAAGAGAAAATTCGGCCTAAGTCCACTAAGAGTTTTAACTCAAATACCCAGTGGAGTCGCCAAGCTGTCGCGACCTAAAATTTCTCAGGCTAATGGATTATTAAGACTAAGCCTAACTCGGGCCCTCCCAAGCCCTACCAATTCGCAACTTAGGGTTTAAGTTTTTTAACATGCAAAAGTTTTCATGCTTGGAGTCGCCACTAATTTATTTGTGGTAGGTCGATTAGAAACCTAAATAAAACATAGGGAGATATGTTTTATTCCTACGAACCAGAGATTCTAAGCTCGGAGACTTGGTTACGCTAGATCTAGTCTAACGCCCTTTCGATACCTTTTCTTTTCAAAAATATTTATGCAAGCAGTCTAGATCCATTTTATTACCTAATCACTAACATGTGAGGTGTTCATGCGGGTGCACAAATCACCAATTTAACACCCAAGAAAGCAACAAATAGATTGCAAGATTAGGAGAATGACATACCTTAATGCAACGCAAGCATCTGCATTGTTAGTAGAAAATCATACAGACAATCCTAATATGATTTCTAATTAACAAAGCAAGGCACTCGAGGTGTTCTTTAGGGTTTGCGCTTTATTAAAATGCAAACTAACCTATATGCAATGACGTGCAAAAATGACATGCGATTAATGTAACCTAGCATGCGAATTGTATGTCATGCGACGACGTGACCTAATTCTAATGACGGACAAATGATTTATTTTTGGTATTTTTCCAATGAAATTCGAAATTAAAAGATGCCTAAAACAACATGCAATTTAACAACTTCTTTTTTTTTGATATTTTTATTATTAAAATTCGAAATTAAAAGTTGCTCAAGTTGAGAATGCAATCTATCCTAAAGTAACTCATTCTTTTTGGGATTTTCAAGGAAATTTGGAATCTTAAAATAACCTAAATAATCTATTAGGATTAGAATAACACCTAATTTAAACTAGGAAATAAATCATCTCAAGCCCTAATTCAAATTAAATAATTATCCTATCTTCTAGATACATTTAGGGTTCCCTAAACATGGAAAACTTCTAATTGAAATCTTAACTGACATATTTTTGGATTTTCTTTATTTAAAAAAAAAAGTCAAACGACACCATATCACAAAATATTACCGACATCCATTTAAATTTAGAAACAGTAGATTGACAAATCGTATCCCGGGCATGAGGATCGGATTGGCCAATTTTTCACACAATCGCGAATCATATCTTGGGCGGGACATCGGATTGATGATTTTCCGTGCGATTGCGAGTCATATTTCGGGCATGAAATCGGACTGTCGATCATATGCACGTTGTGAAATTAGGAAATAATTCCTAATTTAAAGATTATTCGGGGACATAATGGATACGATCATAGCATTCAAAGATTCACACAAAATTGTAATATTTCAAACAAAGAAGCAATATACTCGAAAATCAAATTAAATGAGATCTTTACCTAATTTGAATATTTTCTTTCCGAGTTTGGACCGGCGGATGGTGGCGCGGATGAAGTTAGCCGCGAAGAGCTCGTGGTGACTCGCGTGATTGGCAAGAGGTGGCAAAACAGTAGAGTGAGGAGAACCCGTGGCGAGAGCGCGGGGACGAAGCTTGACTCCACACGTTTGTCGTTCCTTTATGTTATTTGTTTCCGGAGAACAGAGGATCCCAAGAGCATGATGTTGTCTCCTTCAGCAACGAACTCACTCTCCACCAATTGCACTCGGTTTTGTCCTCTTGTGAACCTGTAAACAAAAATCGTCTCTGACAGGGAGAGAAAAGGATGAATTCTTTTGCTTCTTTCTCCACTGAAACACTTCTTTGTTTAATTATTGCTCTATTGGCTACTGCTTGACTCCTCGCAAACGACGGATGGAAGTTTGACTGAGTCAATATGATGTGAATAAAAGGCAGAGAACAAGCGAAGACACTAGCGAGCAGTGGATGGATCCGGAAAAACCGCAGATTCGATACCGAGGCCTCGCCTTTGTGCGTTGGATCGCCGGAAGAATCGTCGTGGACTGGAGCTCGTTGGTATAATGGATGGACGCTAGAAGAGCAGCAGCGGACTCGATATTGGAGCAGCTCGTCACGGGGGCTTTTGGCTCGCAGTGGAAATAGCAGGTGTCGCGGTAGCGGAGCAGCAAACGTGGCGCAGCCGAGAGGTTGGACGCCACGGAGGAGGACAGTATGGCGTTGAGTCGAGCGGCACGGCCACAGGTCTGGCTGTGTGGGGATCTCGGCCAAGGTTTGGTCGAGAGACTCCTTTTCTCTTCTTCACGCCTTCTCTTTTCTCTCGGCTTTCCCCAGAATCATGACCGTGTATTCAATTGTCTCCCTTCGCTACTCACGATTTTTTTCTCTCTCAATGGTGATCCTCGCATGTCAAGTCTCTGCCCCCCCCCCCCCCCCTTCTTCTGTGTAAAATACCTCAATTTATAATCTCTGCTCACCGACTCCTTGCTGGATATTTTCCTTCAATCAAATATTCTCATTGATATTAACCGATTCTTCCCTAGTCCACTTTCCTCAAGATCCACCGCTTCTTTATTCTTTTCCTTTTGTTTCTTTCGATATTTCCTCTTTGTTAGCCGAAGTGTATACACCAATATATGCTCATGATCAAAATAATATTCCCATCTCTCGCACACAAGCTTGGTGATTGCTTAAGCTTCCAAAGTTTTGGTAACTTAGTAGCTTAGTTGATTTTTCTAAATTGAGCACTCCACGTGTATTTTACACGTGTAATTTGGCCAACATGTGCGAAGCGCGAGGCAATTTTCAGCCATGGGCTTGGTTCAATCAATTCAATTAAGCTCAGAACCATTCGCTCGAGTCCATCTGCCGTCGGTCCGATAGATATGCGAACTATATGGGCCTATAAATGAAATGCTCCTAATATCTATATGCAATTTAACGAATATTTTTGCTAGGTGTCGGGACCGACTCCTAATTTTCCTATGCAATATGTACCTAAATAGATCGCCAAAATTTAGGTGTCAACAAGGTTTGTAATACTTTATTATAATCACGTCCTTCCATTGTTTGCATTTTTTAAAAGTTTTGGGACTCGATTACATTGTGACAAATTTTAGGACTCGATTGCATTTTCATGACAAGTTTTAAGATTTGATTGCATTTTTTGAAAGATTAATGATAGAATGCACATTCGTGACAAATTTTTGGACCACTTATCCCTATTCTTTAAAGGGTTAATACCACGAAAAACCCCAAACTAGTACACTCATGATAAATTTACCCTAAACTAATTTTTTGACAGCAAAAAATCCCAAATTGGTACATGTGACAAATTTACCCTATATTAATTTTCGTTAAATTTTACCGTCAAATTACTTAGTTGGATGACATGTAGCAATTGATGAGTGTAATGGTTTGGGGGTTTTACGGCTAGTTTACCAATTTGTGATTTTTCGTGGTATTAATCCAATTTAACGGAGGATAAATATTTTACAAGTGTACCGGTTTGGGGTTTTGGGTGGTCAAAAAATTAGTTTGAGGTAAATTTGTAACAGGTGTGCCAATTTAGAGTTTTTGGTGGTAAAAAAATTAGTTTAGAATAAATATGTCAAATGTGTACTAGTTTGAGATTTTTCGTGGTATTAACCCTTCTTTAAATTTATCTTTTTTACTTGGTTCGCTTTGACATTTTCGAAAGACTTGTTGAATCACAATTGCGCTCCCCAGGGTGAGGGTTTTATTCACAGATTTCTTACTTGTACCTTTATTTTCATCTTAAAATCTGATTCCAAGAAAAGCATTGTAATCTTGCTGGCTTGGTGTCTTATCTCAGATAGCAATCTTCATATATTTTGATTCTATATTACGTGTTTTTCCTTACTATTCATGACTTCAAGTTGCTGATGTGCTTAGATAAGGCGAAACACTCTATATATAGAAGGTTATTAGATGGCTCAATTGGAGGTGATTCTTCACTTATATTATATTGGAGTTAAAAAAGGAGTTCTTTTTGCTTGGGTACTTAAGCTATTTTTAAAATGTTTTCCTTGTGAAACTTATTTTGCTTTCTTAAGTAATGATTGAGAAGTTATTTTTCTTGTACAACCGCAACGTGAGAAGTACTTTGAATGGAAGTTAAATTTTTTTGTTCTTTTTTGTTGTAGCATGAAATTACTCTTCTTGCACATGTAATGCATGATTTGCAAAAGGATTTTGAGTTCAAAGTAGGAATACTTTCTTCAAGTGAACTTGAAGCATGTCATGAGTATATGGCATATGCAATAGACAAAGGTTTTGGAGTGAGGAAGGATCATATATATAAAAATGTTAAACGAGAAATAACACAACGGATTTTTATGTGTAATTGTGAGGGGTTTTCTCGCAACTCATGTGATGAAGAAAACAAATATGAGAGACTTGAACTCCTCTGTGGCTGTGCTGCTCATATTAGTTTAAGGTTGAAAATGATGTTTATGAAGTCATACAGTATCTTTCCAAGAATAATCATACAACTGCACTAGAACATTAAAAGCACCTGATAACAGGTGGAAAAATGATCTCTGATATTTGTAAATGTGATTTAGTTGACATGACTAATGCTTGCATTTGGGGGACTATTGCATCTAATGTTAGGATGCACGTGTTAGTTGTGTTAGAGAAACCCAACATCGGATAATTGATGTGGTGCAGAGTAGTTAATATATCCTAGTTGACCCATAACTCATAGGCTTGTGTTTTTGAGTAAAGATGGGTCCAACTGGATATGTGTTAACAAGCTCGAATTTAGGCTAGGATGCACATGTAAGTCGTGTTAAAGAAATCCCACATCGGATAATTGGTGTGGTGAGAGTAGTTAATATATCTTAGTTGGCCCATAACTCATTGGCTTAAACTTTTGAGTGAAGGTGGGACCAACTGGATATATTAATATGCTCAGACTTAGGCGGGCTTCTATTGCGCACTCCCTAACAAATAAGTTCTTGGCAAGTGAAGCAACAAGAAGTCAAAACTTGTGTTTTTTCAACCGTATTGTCAAAATCTTTTGCAGAAAAGATCAAATAGTATAAATGTCACGCCTCGAACCCCAACGGGCTCGTGACACCCCTTCGACGGTCGTAATGAACGCGACGTCCCAGGATGTGTCGCCGACCCAGAAGAAACACCCATACGAATATGCAAGCGGAAGCAAATTTTAAAACAACCCAGACAACTAACATGATGACAAAAGGATAGCACGAAACAATAATTGCATAACCTCATAAAGCAGTCACTATTACAAAATGATAAACCAGGCTACCAATTTCAAACCACAATTTTCAAAAGGGGGCGGTGGTTGACAAGCTTATCTCCTCTAAAAAAAGGTACTCAAAAGACAGGGTAATTTGATCTATCCTTCAATCACTGTGGTACCCTGGCGGCATCTCCGAATCGATCACGGTCGCGGATCTGAAAATGTTTGCACTACAATAATGAGATTACATCTCAATAAGCAGACACCCTATATCCCACATAGGCCAATGCGTACCCAGACGAGTCTAACATGCAATCTACCAGCCAGCACGATCAATTCCACACAACATACTTACCTCGTCTCGAACTACGTGCCAACCCTGCATATTAGTCCAAACATGATAATGCAATAATAGTTCATAACCATATCACAATCACTCGAGCGCCATACACACTTGCATTCAACCAATCCAACCAAACACCCACACGTGCATTCAGCCAATCCAACTAGTCACATTACGCACACGTGTCCAACCAACTTTCTCACGACCCGCGTCAACGCGCCTCAAGTCCTTTCTCATAGCCCGAGTAAACACGCCTCAGGCCAGCCCTTCGATCAATCCGAGCTCTGTCCTTCACTGGACATTTCACACTTTCTCACGACCCGCGTAAACACGCCTCAGGTCAGCCCTCCGATTAATCCGAGCTCGGTCCTGCGTAATCATGCCTCAGGACATTTCTTTCTTTCCCATGACCCGCGTAAACACGTCTCAGGTCTAACTTTTCTTTCACGGACCACCGTCAACACGTCTCAAGTCCGTTCTCACAAGCGACACAATTCAATCAATTTCCAATGACCGTCGTCAACACGTCCCAAGTCAAACTTCTCTTTCACGGACCACCGTCAACACGTCTCAAGTCCGTTCTCACAAGCCACACAATTCAATCGATTTCAAAAGACCGCCGTCAACACGTCCCAGGTCTAACTTTCCTTCCACGGACCACCGTCAACACGTCTCAAGTCCGTTAACTTTCATTCTACGGACCACCGTCAATATGTCTCAAGTCCGTTCTTACTAGTACACATGCCACACAATTCAATTCACCATTCTCACACGTCATACTAACCAAATTCCAATCACGAGTTCACCAAACAAGCCCACCAATCCGACATTCAAGTCGGCCACATTTAAACGTCAATATCACTCACAATCGCCACGATACACAAGCCATCAACCCATCTCAATCAGCCACTGATTATGACACAATATTATCACAATTTAACCTACCAACGAACCACATTCAAATCTCAATTCTATCCCTAGCTTAGCCACTAAACATGCCACATAATCACCACAATTCAATCCACCAATTAATCACATTTATAATTTGGCCCTAACCCAAGTTTAATCTCTAAACCGGTGCTAATCACAGCCTAAATAAGTCTAAAAATACCCAAAGTACTAGGTAGGGTTTAGGGAGTCACTTACTAGGTTTTGGCCAAGGAAAAGTCGGCTCGGGCCTAAAATGGCCCGAGTGAACAGTGCTGGTTAGGCATGGGCGAGGGCGCGACGGGCGTGGGGCTCGGCCACGGCTCGGCACACGGCCCGGCGACTCGGCCACAACTGGGCACACAGCTGGGCACGGCTGGGCAACGGGCTAGGCGACGGGCAAATGGCCGAGCGAGCGAGCGGGCGCGCGGTTGGGACGCGTGGGCAACGGCTCGGCCACGGCTTGGGCACGCTCGGCCGGCGAGCTTGAGCACGGCTGGGCACGCTCGGCCGGCGAGCTGGCTGGCTGGATGGCTGGCCGGCAAGCTGGGCTGGCCGGGACGACGGTCGGACGGTGACGGAGGCAAGCTACGGCGGGAAGCAGCGGCTGGTCGGTGGGCTGGGCGAGCTCGAGCAGGCTGGCCGGCGAGGCGACATTGCGGCGGCGGCGACGGAGACTGGACGGCGGCGACTCGGCAGATCCGGTTGGTCACGGCTCCGGCGCAACCAACGGCCACGTGAACAGGGGAAGAAAGGGGGGAGGAGGGCGACGGCGATAGCTCTAGGCTGGGATGAGCGACTTGCGGCGGCCGGACGAGCGGCGGCGGTGCACGGTGGCGACGAATAGGAGGGGAGAGGGAGAAGGCTGGGGCAGTGGTGGCGAGATGGGGGGAAAGCTGGGGGCTGA